TGGCATGCCTGGTATTGCCATTCATTTCACTGTCGAGAGAGAGAGAAAAACGATGGAGAGAACAAAACAAGTGGCTAACAGTCCCCGAGCAGCCGTGAAAGAATAAAAATAAATATTGGCGCCACATGTCAGGGTATCGTAGGTTTTGCACGGATGACTTTTATCAGCTCGGAGGACTAAATTTAAGACAGTACATTTGTGGCACAATATCAGCGGTGATTAAGTTTACCCAAGTACATTGTGCCGGGCACAGAAAAGACGCAGGAATCCTCACTAGAACGATTAAGCCTGTGGTGAATCGGTGTGTTTTAATGCCATTGTGTGCTGAGGAAAAGCGAAGTGCACGCATCCTATCCGTTAAACAATAGCCCGCCATCCACAATGAAAGAGTGATCTCTCTATGGATGTGAATCACTCTCCACATTATGGGCCGGGCGCCTAACGACAGAGCCAGGGGAGGACAAGCACGCACACGGGCCTCATACCAGCCCATATTGTCAATGCAAACACTGGGAAGCTTGCATCTGTTTCCCCCCCACCCGCTAAACATGACTCCCACCCTTAGCATGACAAACCAGTCAGACGACGGGGATGCTGCTGGCACGCACCTTCAAACACACGAAGATGCATCCGCCAAGCATTTTAGCTAGCATTTTAACTAGCTAGCTTCTGTACAACATTGTTTTCATTAGCAAGCAATCTGGGAGGATAAAACTGCGAGAACTGATTTTGTTTTACAGGCGACTTCATTCATTAACCCTATAAAGCCTACTGTATCATATTTAGTACACACATTTCTAAGGCTTCTAAATGATCAACATAGTTAACTTATAATTTAGCTTCTATTCAACATTGTTTTTATTAGTCAGCTAACTGTGAGGCTACAATAGCTATTTTGATGTCGTTCTAAGCCTTTTTGTTTATTAAACCTATAAAGTCTACTGTATCATTTTTGATATACAAATTTCTATGGTGTCTACATTTTCAACAATACTCCCGTTATAATTAGCTTCTGCACAACATTGTTTTTATTGTCTAGCTATCTGCTAGACAATAAATCTACAATAGCAGTTTTGGCATAGATTACAAGCCATTTTGTTCATTAACCCTAAAGCCTGATGTATATTATATTTGACAAAAATGTCTAAGGTCTCTAAATGATCAACATAATTAAATTAGCTTCTGTATGAAATTGTTTTTATTAGCTAGCAATATGGGGGACTACAAAAGCAATTTTGACAATTTTACAAGCCATTTTTTCATTAACCCTATAAATCCTACAGTATCAATTATTATCCACAAATTGCTAGGGTCTCTAAATTATCAAAACTAGCTAAATAAAATCCTATTGATTGCTCTCTGATCAATAGTTTTTTTTTAAGCAAGTAAAGGGCCTTTTAGTATCATTGTTAAAACATATTCCTTCAGGTCATGATTCATGTGTCTTTTTTTCTGTGAAATCTTCACAGATTTTTATCAAGTAAACATAAGAATATTTTTTTTATTGTTTGTAATATTTTAAAATTAACACTTGTAATGCACTTGTTAATAACACTTGTTAATGGATTGAAGCAGCTTAGGTTAAAAGCAGATCATCTCTCATTCACCGATGTATCGCAGTGCTTTATATGTTTTATCCCCATAAAAAAACAACAGAGATTTGATCATTATACAAAGCATTTAAATATCATCTTACTAAGACATATTATTGGTAGATAATATACAGAATGATGCTGATATTTAATGCAAGTAATCTGATATACTGTTATAAAAATCTACATTACAAGCTACTAAAATTTCATCTTATATTTTGGCATATAATTATCAGCCTTTAATATTTTTTGCTCAGTTTGTGCCTTTGAAGAGTACTATTATTTACACTATCGCACTAATATTTTATCTATCAGGCTTTACAGGTATGCCATGTCTGTGGTCGGTTGGTTGGTAGCTAAGCAAATTTTTCACCTCTTCCTCTTTCCCCAAATTTTACAGCTTCACTGTCGCCCAAGTGTGAGAAATGGCCATCGGAATGTTCCTCTTGGTTTTTTTTCATGTGTCTGCACACAATAGTGAGCTCTCTTTAGAGATCCCATCATGACCAAATATTTATGAGAGCTGTAACCGAAGTCTAACTTATGGAAACTAAATCTTTAAACACTTGGCAGACGTTTCGCACCCGGCTCTATTACGAGAGAAATTCTTTTGTTCTTATGAGGCTAATAATAGTGCTGTAAATGTAGATATATTTATAGCCGGCTCACCACCCTCCCAGACAAGCCTTATATTCACTTGTATTTCCTGTGTTTATTATATGCTACCCACCGTTTTGTCTTTAGCTCGCTTGCAGAATATTCGCAAATGACTTTTTTTGTGCTCATCTAGTAGATAAAGCATTTATTGATGTCTGAGGTGATTTTTGGTTACAAGCTATACATCTATGAGCTCTCTACGAGCAGGTGTGTTAGCTAGCATATGCTAGCAGTGGTTGTTTACACAGGTGCCGCTGTATAAACATACTAAACTGCTAGCGTAGCATCGCTAATGAAACTGTTGATTTTAATTATTAGCATGTTGATCCAGAGCACCTTCTGAGAAATGTATGACTCACTAAATTCTAGGAAATATGAATAAATGTGAGGGGAGGCTTTTCACAGCATCCATTTACTGCATTTCTATGCCATTAAACCTGAATATATAGCTCTTGTCTTGATGTTCCTGCATTATTTGAGCTCTTGATAGATGAAGCTTGCTTAAAACGCAACGTTATGTGGGAAAAACCTCCATCAGCATCACAAAGCTCCGTGGGTAACAAAGCCGTACAAGTGTTCGCTAATTAGAGTCAGGAGTGGGTTCAGACTTTCTAGTGCTACCTTTTTTTTGTTTGTGGTTTTTTCGTTAACGCTGTAGCGTACGATTTAGCGAGGGCACATGAGAGCTGCGCTAATTACAACTTCACCGCCACACTACGACTGCTAATGTCAAATTTGACAGCTACGCCCTTGTCTCTATTAACAACTATTGTTTAAAACAATTAGCCGGGGCGAAAAAGTAGTCATAACATCAAGGGGAAGCTACTCCACCGCAGCAAAAGGTGAAGTGCAAACACAATTAAAGGTAAATGATATAGACAGCAATTAGCCATCCGCAAATGCTAATCCATGCTAAAGTGGGAATACAATGCTTGAGCTAAAGAGCACGAGAACGGATAATAAAGCTCTATAGCTAAGAGCACAGGGAAGAGCGTAACATTCACCTTTATAACAAAGGCATGAAAACAGAATTATAATTCATTTTTGACCAGAAAAATGTTTTGGAAAAAAAATACAAAATTTGCATACAAATTTGTCATAAAGAAACATGTAAAGAAAAAATATGAAGTAACGTTAAAAAATGGTGGATAAAGAAGGAAGAAAACTAATTTGTCTGTGTGAAAACAGAAAAAATGACCCTTGTTCTATAACAAAAAATGTATGATTGGCTACTTGTATATTTTTTTTAGCCATCAACAATTGCTGTAAATCCCAAGAGGTGCTAATGGAGTCACAGACGTCAGTGGCACTTTACTTTGGCTGAATATCCAGATATCAAAATATTTAAAGCGGATGTTCACTCCAATAATCCGAAAGTGAGTATTTCCAGAATAAATAAGTATGACAATAGCGTCAGAATCCACTATATATTTCAAATATACTGTAGGCCAATCCTCAGTATAAATGAATTTTAGTACATTTCATGAGCTATTGAAAATGATGAGAGGAAAACAATAAGGTGCCTGTAGCTCTCAGAGCACAAAATTAATGATTTGAATTGTGTGCTGTCAGATTTCTCAGTGGCATATCAAAACATGTCACAGGCAGGTAAAATACAGCATGCTCACAAGCAAAATCTTTCACGAAGGCAGACATGCACGAGTTCCTAAAACCCTCACAGTCTTCTCAGTCCCATCAATATTTCTGTCAGACAGATGTGTATTGTGGAAAAAAAAGGTTAAAACAAGCGAAAATAAAAAAATAAACATCTGACTGGCCTCTTCGGCTGGTATAATAAACTGTCAATTATATATCACTGTGTGTCAATACATCATTTGAAATACTCACACAAATACATCATGTATTTTTTAGACCATCCCAAAAAGTTCTCACAAATAGCCCTGAGACTCTGTCATTATTTATGTAAAACTATGAACTAATTAGTTTTCCAGCCAAATGGCAACATTTGTCTCATTCATATTGATAGTTCAACTAGTGTACTGTAGTGTTGAGTATGCTGGAAAACATTAATGCTTTATAGGTAAAATACATGAAAACATCACATTATTCTGTTATTCTAAGTGTACTTGACGTGTAAAAGCCCGTTCATGCCAATTAAAACTATAGTTTTAATAACTGTTCTAATACTATGAGAATAGCGAAGTCCACACTACAACTATTTGATGTTGATGAATGATAAAAACATTGACAGCCAATCAAGAGCCACCCATTGTTAAAATAACTAAAAATGTACTCACTCTCAGGCCATCCAAGATGTTAGATATATTTGTTTCTTCATCAGGACAGATTTGGAGAAATCACTTGCTCATCATTGTATTCTCTGTTTCTTACAAACATGCAGCTTTTTGCTTCACAAGACGTCAACTGATGGGCTGGATTTGTGTGGATTACTTCTGTTTTTATCAGCTGTTTGGACTCCCATTCTGATGGCACCCATTCACTGCAGAGGATCCATTGATGAGCAAGTGATGTAATGCTGAATTTCTCCAAATCTGTTCTGATGAAGAAACAAACTCATCTACATCTTGGATGGCCTGAGAGCGAGTACATTTTCAGCAACTTCAGTTGTTCTTCTATTTGTGGAACACCTTCATTCTGGTATTTTCAGAGAATTATACTGAATTGTAAGCCAACAGACATCCATGCTGATTCCCAATGCAATGTAAAATGCTTTTAGATCACTTGACATTTTCGACCACCCAACACCAAACCAATGAAAGTGTCACATACCTTCAGTTCCCTGAAGAAGATGCTGCTCCTGGCCCATTCCACAATGGAGAACAGTGTCTGGTCGGCCATCTTGCACATGAGGCCAAAAGTGTTGAGCTTCTCGTGCTTGCCTCGGCTGGCCTGCTCCTGCTGGAGGTAAGCTAGGATCTTCGCTTGCACCTGGGGCTCGTCCGGCTCGCACTTGAGCAGCTCCACCACCAGGTGAGGGAAGGTGGGCGGCGATCCACCCGCGTAGGCTTCTACGTACGGGTAGCCCATGAGGGACTCCGGCGAGCTTGTGTAGGGGTCGGGATACTCTGACTTGATGGTGCGGCTCTGAAAGTGGCCGTATGCCTGGTAACCCTGGAGTCCTCCGGCGTGCGGCGGCATGGCCATGCTGACCGGCGAGGTGACGAAGGGATTGCAGTCAAAGTCTGCAGGTGGCAGGCCTGCGCTGGAGGAGCTGTGGTGGTGGTGATGGTGGTGGTGATGATGGTGGTGGCTCAGTGGAAGCCCCTTGGAGGCCGAATGGATGTTCTGAATGGCAGAGGTAATGGTGAGGTCTGCTGGGATGGTTTGCATGGCTTGCGTCATGGCCTCCAGCTTGAGTCCGTTGGCCCGGATCAAGGCTTTTTTCTGTTGCTTGAGCGCCCGGTCTCTTTTGTACATGGGGCCAAACTTGTTGCGACCTCCTCTCATTCGATCAGCCCTCACAGCTTATAAAATCACAAAACACAAAATGAGTCAGGTATCAGTTCATTAGGAAATAACAGAACTGTCTTTTTTAGAAAGAAAGCTAAAATAGTGAAGTGTGTCATTTCTGCGCCACTAGTGTCACGAAACGGAATTGCAGAAGTAATGACTGTTTCCTTGCAGGTTGTGTGTCATTCGGAATTGTATTGAGAATGCCATTTGAGTTTGAATTTAGGTAGTAAACAGGATGCAGAATTGGAATTCAAATTTAAATTTAAAGAAGTAGAATTCAAATTAATTTAAATTCAAAGAAACGTAAATAACTATTAACTGTCATTTGTATCTAGAAATTCAATTGTATCAAGAGAAACTTAATGTTGGCTTAACATAGGCATTTTGGTGAGAGAGAGATAGATAGATAGATAGATAGATAGATAGATAGATAGATAGATAGATAGATAGATAGATAGATAGATAGATAGATAGATAGATAGATAGATAGATAGATAGCAGTGGCGTACCGTCCATATAAGCTGCGAATGCTCCGCATACCCAGGCCATTTGAGAGAATGAGAGAATAAGATAATTCATATAAACATGATTATAAGTTGAATTGTATCATTAATGTTGGCTTAACATAGGCATTTTGGTGAGAGAGAGATAGATAGATAGATAGATAGATAGATAGATAGATAGATAGCAGTGGCGTACCGTCCATATAAGCTGCGAATGCTCCGCATACCCAGGCCATTTGAGAGAATAAGTTAATGGGATAATTCATATAAACATGATTATAAGTTGATCCCTTGTCATTTGAAATGTAACTTAAAGCAAGAGTTAGGAATACTTATGTAAAATGATTTATTTGCCAAACGGCAGTAATTTTCTTTAAATCTATCAGTTGCGGTTGCTTCCAGGTAAGCGGATTCTCCGCAGCTTTCTCGTCTCCGCTCTATTGCTATGACTCATCAGGATTGTAGCACGTTCTCAGTGTTTTGCTGGTCTGCGGCTGATTTCATGCGCGAGGTAAGCTATCCGCGAAGCGCTCGCCCAAGCGGAAAAATGTGCTGTTCCTGTTAGATCTCGATTGCCGAGAATCACATTGTGTTTGATGCAAAACCAACTCGACTAAATCAAAAGAAAAAAGCACTAACTGTATATTTTTATTTTCTCAAGCAAAGCAAATTTTAAAAGTCCACTGAAAACATATCTTCTTACATTTTTGGTCATAGACAACGTATGTTGAAGATATACGTTATGGTCAACGTTATTGCCTACGTGGTAAATTAAAAAATATTTTTTATAAAAACGTGGGCTAGTGTTGTCAAAAGACCCGGTATTTCGGTACCAAGTTAGTACTAAAAAAATTTAAACGTTACGGTACCAGGTTTTTTTAAGTACCGGTGGTACCGAGTACCTGGTCAACCTGGTTCTTGATGCGCTATCCGAAAACTAGCCTCTGCCAGTGTTGCCAAGTTCGCGGTTTTCGCATCAAACTAACAAAACACCCCGATCAAGTTCAAGCAGGTAAGTTTCAATTACATTTTTAATATTTAGAGCTTCTGTTATGAATATTATTCCATATTTTAATTTGAATTTCGGATTGAAATAAACTTCGTCATTAGCGTATACATAGTTAATCATTAGCATAAGCGCGGCTAGCGCTAATATAATTAGCATTAGAATGAATTTTGTTCATTTTGTTCAAAATTATTTCTTTGTTAACTATTTAATGCTCCTAATAATGTTTATTACTTTAAAAAACAGGACATAATGTTATTTACTATTTTTACACACCAGAGGCTTTTAAATGAACTGTGTAACCAAAATATGCGTGTTAGAGAATGTACAAATGTATGGTTAACAGTGTTTAGTCTGTCAGAAAAAGTTTTTTTTTTGTTTGTTTGTTTTGTTTTTTTTAGTTAGTTGCAATTCTTGGCTGAATATCTCTAGCAGGTTTTAAAAGCCCTTTAAAATTAAATATGAACACATTTTGGATTAAATAAAAGTACAGTCAAACTGTATCGCCTGTATAGACTTTACTGTACAATGTTAGATCTAGTAACATCTTACAGTGAGTGAACAATATATTTTTAAAACATTCATTAATGTTTGTGAATGTTATTTAATACAAACATTTGATCATTCATGCTTGTTCATTGTGCATTAAATAATTTTAACAGATTGAACTTTGAAATTAACCCTAAGAAGAATAATTACTGTTTATTGTTAGGTCATGTTATCTAACAAATAAAATCTTATTTTAAAGTGTTTTTAATACTACAGTTTCCATCTATTTGATATACACTTAATACATGTAATCTTATCTAAATTTCTTATAAAAGCTGAGGTTTGTTATTTACTGAAAAGTTATATTTTAGCTGGTGTCAATGATCTTATGTTGCATTTGGTCAGACTCAGCCCATTGCTTTACTTAAGTATATTTTATATTCCTTTTACAGCTGCAGACTGAGGAAGATCCTGAAACACACCAGCAAACCCTAAAACAGACAACAGTTTACAGATGTTTTTCAGTGGCAGCAGAACTATGACTAAACTTTTGGGTGAAATTTGTTTACTTTTTTCAATTAGCATGTTTTTGTGTTTTGCTTTGGTACCGAGAACTGTGGATTTTCACTGGTATTGGTACCGAATACCAAAATTTTGGTACCGTGACAACACTAACGTGGGCTATATAAAATTTTAATAATAGCAAACATCATATTGTTCCCTTTGTTTTGTGTATGCTCGTGTCAATGACAGTTGAAGTCCTTCCCTGATGTTTGCAAGGTTGCAACATTACTTTGCAATATTTTAAATATTTTGGGGTATTTTGCATGGTCTGTTATTGGAGTAGTGTCACCCGGGTGGGAGTTTTAACTCCTATTCACTGGGAATAAAAATATTATTTAGCTGACGCAGCGAGACATATAGACCAGGGGAACCCCCCCCCCCCCATCTACCCACCCTCTGAATGTAACGTATCATAACGTAACTACGTGTAAACGTTATTTGGCGGTTTTTACTTGGAAAACCAGCTATATTTTTCTTCCATTCGAATAACAATGGATAAACCTGAAATGATAGAAGAAGGATTGGAGATGAATTTAATTTACAAATAAGGTAGGAAATGTGCATACTTTTAAATCGACACCTGCCATGGTGTTTCTTATTTGTCATCTGTGATCCCTTTTGAGTGTCCTAAAAGCCGATGGGGTCTTATCATTCAGCATACCCGGTTAAAAAAGTCACCGCTCGCCACTGATAGATAGATAGATAGATAGATAGAATTCTTTAATTCTGCCATCTGTTTTACGACAGTTCTGTCATTGGTCTAACAAACAGATAGCCCCGCCCCCAACTCAAACAATTGGTTGAGCCGTTGCTGTGTCGATCTGGTCATGATTCTCAAACAAACAGATTGTTTTCAAAGCACCAGAGTGTTTATACATTTCAAGGGAGTAACTGGCAAATTGCTTATAGTTACTTGTTAAGTACAAAGTACAAAAAACAAAAGTATTTTAACATCGAAAACGTTACATTACTTTAAACAGTTTTTGAAGTTTGGTACACAGTTTCAATTGATCTGTACCACAGCAGAAAAGCCTTTAAACTGGCCACACACTTTTATAGCCTGGTTATTTATTTGCTACAAGCAATCAGTGTCATTTTCATGGGTGAATTTTACTTTCAGTGGTGTTAGTTTGTGTTGCTACCCATGTGACCCATTTTTTCAAAGCCAGACCTAGAGCGAACTCAGCATAATCGAGCCAGAGGACACAATTTAGAGAGAAACGGTGCTAATGATTCAATATTAAACTGAAACGAGACGAAGTCAAGTGGACGAGATCATCATTATGGCAAATAAAGGAAGAGAGCGCCATTGCCTGGAAGCAACTCTGATCCCCGCCACAGGGCAGTAGACTCTACTTTCGTCTGCTGGGTCCCATGTTAATTATTTATGCTTAATTATTTCTCTTTTATGCTCCATGTTGTCGGCAGGTGGATGGCTGGAGGTTCCAGCAGCGCGTTAAACACACAGCAGCATATGCAGAAAGCAGGCATTTGTAGACGTGTTCGCGACTTGACCGCCGCTCGTTAGGCCCTGATATCTTACGAACGGTAGATCTTAAAAAAAATAAAACTATTAAAAGAAAACCCTCGGTCCGACAGCTGCCTTGGGAGTGATTTTAATGGTCCTTGTCACAGCGGTGAGTGTTTGTGTGTGTGTGGTTGTCACTACATGTGTGATCTGATTGATCCGGCGAGAGAGGGAGGCAAAGTGTTACCACTGCGATCCCGCTGACAGCTCTCGTAACATCCGAAAACGATTCCTGAGCAACTTAGTGGGAGATTTATTAATTAATTAATTTTATTTTATTTACTTTTTTTAGTTTTTTGGTGTTTTTGGCCTTAATGTGGTTGTTAAAAATTTATCCAATCAGAAAAACTGTGGTAAGTTTAACTATTAATGATTCCTGAGCAACAGGGTAATTAATGAGCTGGAAACTAATAGTCCGCCCTTATGGGAAAACACAATTAGACCTGCGACTCAGATCATGAATGCATGCCCCCATCCATGCGCATACACACTTGCACACTCTGTCTGACACCATCCCCCTCTTCCTTTTTGTCTTCTGATAAGATTTTTTTTTCTCACAGCGTCTAATTAAACAAGGTTATTTACATGCATGTCATACTGATTTTTTTGGCATAAGACAAGGAGTTTTGTGTGTGCATTTCTGGCAAATTTTCGGTATGCATAGCATGACTTTTTGTGTGTTTCTGGGTCTGCTTGAAATGGCATACTACCATACTAGTACATTTGTTGCAATGTATATTATATATGCTAAGTACACAGTATGTACATTTTCAGTATGCATAGAATGACCTGTGCGTTTCTGGCTATGTTTGAAATGTTATATTACCATACTAATTGTAATACTGTTGTAGTATATAGTATGCAGACTTGCACAGTATTTAAATTTTCTGTATGCATAGAATCACCTGCTACATTTGCTTTGTGTGTGCATTTCCTCTAATATTTAGAATAGCATACTACAAAACTACTCCTATTGTTGCAGTATATAGTATGCATATTATGCAACATTTCTGTTTGCATATAATTACTTTCTTTGTTTCTGGCCATGTTTGAAATGGCATAATACAACACTATGTCTTGTTGCAGTATGTAGAATACACAGTATTCAAAATTTCTCTATGCATAGAATAACCTTTTGTGTGCTTCTGGCTGTTTGAAATAGCATACTACTATTGTTGCAATATATAGTATATATGCTTATACTATGCATAGTATGCAAATTGTCTGTAAGCAGAGAATAACATTTTGTGCATTTCTGGCTTTGTTTAAAATGGCATACTACCAATCCTACACATATTACTGTTGCAGTATATACTGTAGTATGCATATTATGAAGCGTACACACATTTTCTGTATTCATAGAATTACTTTCAGTGCATTTCTGGCTATGTTTCAGATAGCATGCTACTACTTCTACTATTTTTGCACTATATACATAGTAAGCATACTTTATGCACAGTTTACAACTTTTCTGTATGCATAAAATTACTGCATACAGCACACTACACAGAATAGCATACTGTATATCCCACAATGCAATGTGATCAACTTGACCTTCGATTCCTAGTGTGATGAATGATCCTGAAATATCAGCAGCAGTTTTTCAAATATTTTCTTGACTCGTAATTTGATTGGGTTGCCAAAAGTGTATGCTAAAAATTGTATACAAATGCAAAACAAATATTTATTAACCCTAACCCTAATCATACAACTTTTTGGAAATGTTTATTGTGGAATAATGCATACTGTTTCACTTACTCTACGTTTTTTTTAAATAGTAGCTAGTATACAGTATTTATTGTTTAGCATTCAGTATGTAGTAGGCTAGTATTCTATTCCAAACACAGCCCATTTTTCAAGTAAACTGTGTGTCTATTCTGTATGTTTGTAGCCTGTGTCTGTGTGTGTACATGACTTATAAAACCAATTTGTGAGTTACTCAAATGGCTTGGAGAAAGCAACTGCCTTGGTAATAAAAGCAGTTGCCTGATCTAATTTACTTGAATTGGCCGTCCATAGATGTTGTTTGTTTGTGTGTGTTCTGCGTCTGTGTAGACGGGGGCCGTCTGGGCAGATTCGAGCGCTGCTTATTGTCTGATTTATGTGTGTTTAATATACAGGAATATTAAGCGTTGCTTGGGCGAGAATCCCTGTCCTATCACAGGCATATGAATGCCTCCCCTGGTCGGCTCCTGACACACAGTTTGTCATGTCTGCCGGAGCTCTACTCTGAAAGTATGCCGTTCCATGCGCACACATGAATAGCTATGATACCTATGCATAAGTAATGGTACAGTTTGCTGCCGCCACCGCCAGTGGCTGGGAGATGGCAAACGCATATCAGCCCCAAAAAATGACAAAGTGCGCAATGCAAAGCGTGGAGCATGTTTTGAATATCCACAGTAGAGCCATGCCAGATTGTCAGATTCATCAAGGTCCTTAATATGGATAACAGACGTTTGATGAAATCTAAACTATTTTATGCTCCACTGTGCATAACGTTGGAGTCGAATGGAATGAATAAATGCACGGGCTGGTCTATGTAGCTTCCTTTTCCCTTCCTCAACTCGAAACTGATTATAGAGGTAAAAAAGATTGGATTCTCTTAATCTGTAACTGAGCCACAAATATATAAAAGATGATAATTACAGGCTTCCTTGGAAAGACATAACACTCTCTCCCGTGTTTTTTCCAGAACTTTAAAACAGAAGGCTTTCCTTATCTGTATTGATAATATAGAGCTTCCATGAAGACATGGAAGTATGTGTCACACTGAAATGGATGTTTTGTTTTGCTACTTGTTCAATTATGGTGAGTGTTGCACTCAAATCTGTTTGCTGAAAGCTTCTGATAATACACAAAGAAAGATTTAAACTGAAGCATTTATTTCCAACGGTTATTAATTGCCATCAATGTTATGTCAAAATAATGGACCTTGTAATTCTTATCATTAAATTACAAAACCATTAAAACAACATCAAATTCTTACAATTGCAATCAGTTTATGACAAAATTACTCACTTATGTACTAATATTGAAAATTTTCTTTAGTGGTAATTCTGTTTTAAATATGCATGAAACTTACTGCTGCGGTTTGTATTCAAAACACTCTTTTGGTTAACATTTTCCATCCTGCAGCTTTCCTTAGGAGTACAGACAATCAGAACAAGCCTGTGGGGAGTATTAGCGAGTGCTCATCTCTTTGGACGGGTCTGACAGGGCGCTGGAGGGCCTCGTATCCTGTTGGTAGCATGCGGCAGCAAATCAAAGCCAGCTAGCCATAAAACAACACGGCTAGAAATTCTGCCCTCCAGCAGTTAAACAATTAACAGTCGTACATCTACAGACTGAGAGGAAAGAATCATGTGGTGAGCGTGTAGAATTCTTAGATGGTAGTTAAAGGGACAGTTGCTTTTGTGTCATTTCAAACCTGTTTGACTTTCTTTCTACTGTGGAAAATAAAAGACGTTTTGAAGAATGTTCACGCAGCTCATTTCCATACAATGAAAGTGAATGGGGACAAAAGCTGTCAAGCTCTAAACAGTATGACTTATATTTCAGTCTGTTTCTGTACTTAGTACACAATTCATATTTTCTACTTTTTTCGACAGCTGTGGTTCCCATTCACTTTCATTGTATGGAAAGAGCAGCGTGAACATTTTTCAAAACATCTCCTTGTGTTCCTTTGTGTTCTACAGAAAAAAAGTAAGTCCTACGGGTTTGTAACGATATTCAGGTGAGTAAATGATGGCAGAATTGCTCTTTAAAGAGCCAAAGCTGTGTTCAGTTACAGGAAGAAATGCACAGATGAACTAAAAAGACTTCTTACCCTCCAGTTTCATGCCGACAGTGAGGCACTTCTGGAAGCGACAGTAGGGGCAGCGTTTCCGCTGGGTCTTGTCTATTTGACAGCTCTGGTTCTCTATACATGTGTAGCGCTTGTTGTTCTGCACCGTGCGCTTGAAGAAGCCCTGCAGAGTGAGGTGAATGAAGATGTCAAACTTTTGACCTCTGGTGTTTGTTAATGTGCTGTTCAGCCACAAACAACCCACACACACGTCAAAAAAAAAAACACTTGTATCCATTCACACAGAGAAAGAAAAGAGGTGTTACACACACTGCCACACAAGTAGACACATATAAAAGTAGAGCCACAGGCAGAGAAACGCTCCCTCAGCAGTCGACGCTCACTTGGATAAACACAAACACACACACCCACACAAAAACTGACATGTGCACCCACACGCACACTTGACATGAACAAACAGAAATGCAGGCTGGAAAGAAACAGATTGAGAAATGTGAGAAGCCGACTAGAGAGTGGACGAAATACCGATGCGATCACTTTAGGTGACCCACTTGATATCCTCGCTAATATAAAGATCCGCTTTTAGCGTCATGACATACTAATGCTACATGTTTTGCGCGTCTCTGTGAGCTCCTCTTAAAGTAATTATGACCAGAAGCTGTGCAAGCCATCAAAGCTAGAAGAAAACAACAAAGTTGTATTTGAAGTCGTTTTGACTGAAAGTTGAAGTTTACTTTTAACAAATTCTGCTCTATATTTTAATTTGAACATCCAAACAGATTTGTACAAATATCAAAATTTCTTCCAAATAAATTCCCGTTGAACTTCTCTGATCCTATTATTCATACAGCAGAAGCAAAAAAGCAACTAAAAAAAAAAATCCAATAAATTATATCCATAATTTACAGCCGTAGGATTACAAGATTCCACCTGCAACTGTCCTGAATTCATTTTCAGGGCAGGAGAGAATCAAACGAGGAATGGTATTAACTTATTCTTGATCAACACCGTAGGGAGACAGGCCCATTTAAAACTAAAAGGATCAATACTGGCCAGAACTCAAATAACACACACACACACACACACACATTCTTATTATATATATATATATAAACTACCAACCTACAGAACATTCCACGAGCATAAGTTCTCTCTTCATTTTAAATGATATTCCTCGATTATAATAATACATCAATCGGTCTGTTAATCAGTCACTTACAGGCTAAGCCCGCAACGCCTTAAGATAAAATTTGATTTCTACGACTGTAAACGCATATTCGTAAAAATATACAAATAATAAAAAAAATATTCTTATCAGTAACCATTTGTCGCGGAGTTGGTGTATGGTTCTTTGGATATTAAAGAGTTACATTATTGTCGGTTCCAGTACATAGTTGGTTTTCTAAATCAATTTGGTCCTGACTGGAACCTTTATTTTAAAAAGTGCAGCTTATGCCGGCTTAACTATTTTGGACCAGCAGATTTCTGCTTGGCATAAAGCTGCGCTCTGTCACAGTCATTATTGTGGTTTCGAATTTTCTAATTGTTACAAAATGACCATTAAAGCATTCCGCTACTTCTCTGCTTGTCAGCCGGCTTATCTGTAACAAAACAGCGCAACAAAAACTCCAAAGTGCTGTTTATGTCATTGCACGCGATATAAAAATCACTGCATCCTGGTTTAAGAAATAAAATAAAGTCTTAATAGCCCAAGACGGCGATAAAGCCAGTAATAAACACGTTCAGAAAAGGAAAAAGAAAGGCCAGCGCTCCAAACATTGCGAGACACGCAGCGCAGTTAACGGGAGCACCGGGAGGTATGTGGTGATATCCTGGAGGGCAAAGTGTTTGTGTGTATTGCAAAAATATAACTGAACAGGGAGGGTTATAGGAAGCAAGAGAAAATGACACAAGATGTTGACGCTTAAAATTGATTTCCTATCTAATTATAGTGTAGCCTGCTTTGTGGCATCAACATGCACTTTAAATGCTCTATAGGATTTTAAGTCGAATTAATGAAAAAAGAAAGCAATTTTTTAAAAAGAAATTAGGATAGGCTATGCCTTGTGTAGATTCAAATGTAGGCTAGCCTACAGTGGAAATGTACAGTGTTTTGTCATTTGTTTTACTTTATATATTATAAATAATTTTATAAACAAAATGATTTCGTCATTTTATATTTTAAATGTTAATTTTATTTAAATGTATAATATCCCCCTCACCATGACCTGCACTAAACCTGCAGTCATATCTCACCTACTCAACAATATTCAAAACTTCTGAGGTTGATAGGTTTGCCTAGATCACGTGGAGTTAGACAGATTGATAACAGCCAGTTATAAAGTGACACACAGATAGATAAGCCAAAGCAGATAGTACAGATAGTACTGAAGGAATGATTAACCGGTGGAGAAGAGAGTCCGAACCGCTGTCCACAGCAATGACTGCATGGAAATAAGACAGGTGGTAAAACGCGAGATCAAAAGAACACAACAGGTACCGGGCCGCAAACTTTGAACTACTTCTACCAAACACTAGCACACAGAGTGAGCTTGTTTTATGGGATGTGTGAGTATCAGGATGGACACGCGTGCTCAGTGGGATAAGACATTTTCCTGGATGTAGTGACAGAGAGGCCGTCATCAACTCACATATGCATATCAATGGAAATGCAAACAAAATCCAAATATATATTATGATTTATACTATAGGTGTTTGTACAGAGGCCAAAATGTATTTATTTATTGAAATGTATACATTTGGGCCTCTGTACAAACAATGTTCATATCTATTATTATATTATATTATATTATATTATAAATAATGTGCTAATATAAAATAATTAATATTATAAAAATTTATTAAAAATAACAAAATACAAATTTATGCCATATCTGTCTGTCTGTCTGTCTGTCTGTCTGTCTGTCTGTCTATCTATCTATCTATCTATCTATCTATCTATCTATCTATCTATCTATTTATCTATCTATCTATCTATATATCCAATTGATATTTGATTTAAAAATTGGTATTTGCCGATAATACTATATAGTGTGTGTGTGTGTGTCGGTCGGTCGGTCGGTCAGTCTGTCTGTCTGTCCAATTGATATTTGATATCAAAATTGCTATTTACCGATAACACTATATTGTGTGTGTGTGTGTCGGTCGGTCGGTCAGTCTGTCTGTCTGTCCAATTGATATTTGATATCAAAATTGCTATTTACCGATAACACTATATTGTGTGTGTGTGTGTCGGTCGGTCGGTCAGTCTGTCTGTCTGTCCAATTGATATTTGATATCAAAATTGCTATTTACCGATAACACTATATTGTGTGTGTGTGTGTCGGTCGGTCGGTCAGTCTGTCTGTCTGTCTGTCTGTCTGTCTGTCTGTCTGTCCAATTGATATTTGATATCAAAATTGGTATTTACCGATATTACTATATAGTGTGTGTGTGTGTGTGTGTGTGTGTCTGTCTGTCTGTCTATTTATCTATCTATCTATATATGTGTATGTTTGTATGTATGTATGTATGTATGTATGTATGTATGTATGTATGTATGTATGTATGTATGTATGTATGTATGTATGTATGTATGTATGTATGTATGTATGTATGTATGTATGTATGTATGTATGTATGTATGTATGTATGTATGTATGTATGTATGTATGTATGTATGTATGTATGTATGTATGTATGTATGTATGTATGTATGTATGTATGTATGTATGTATGTATGTATGTATGTATGTATGTATGTGTGTGTGTATATTCTAAATTCAGGCCTCTGTACAAACAATGTTAATGCTTATATTATTATATTATATTATATTATATCAATAATATGTATATAAAATGTGGGATAGATAGAAATATATATTTATGTATTTATTTATATAGATTTAAATTAATTAATTAATTTAAGCCTTTGTACAAACAGCCATCTTTTTAGACAGATTGAAATGTTCAAAGTTACTTAATTATTCTGTCTTTCTTTCCCTCTCCACACAAAAGAGCAATTTCATGCAAGGTGAGGGGCAACAATGCCATCTAAATTTGGCGACAAAAGATAAAGAGTCTCGGGACAAGTGGCCTGGCAAACAGGCCTGTTGACTCTAGCGCGGTGACCGAATGACCCTCATGTCACTGGCCCACACCAGCTACAAGGGGGAAGACAACAGAGTGAGGCCGTCTTGACTACCATAAGTGGACGTGCGTTGATAACACAAGGGGTACCTGAGAGCTCTTTGCTTACCAGAGAGATTACCGGCCCGCCGAGGCTCAAAGCTGGGGGATTTGTCAACTTAACCCCTGTCACTGCTCTCTTTTTTTCCCCCTTCAGTCATGTTTTACGATGCTGGATGGACCCCTACACTAAACACAGAGGTCTTTACAGCAGAATAAAACATGGTTAAGTGTAACATGGCTGAGGTCAAGGTTTCAATCGTGGAGGAGAGGGCTTCAGGAGCTAATGAAACCGGGATCTTGCACTCTGACTGCCAGCCATGCTCAGTAATCTATTCAACTCATGTACGTCCCATGAGACATGTTTATATCTACTAAAATTATTGTGGTGACTTGCAAAATTTGTTATTCTGCTGCCTAGTTTGACTCTTATAGACTTTTTTTCTTGGTGTAATAGATATGTAGTCAGTCATGTGAAATATTTTTGACTTGAATAAAATGTAGATATTTCTACATGTTATGGTAGTAAACGTATATGTATGTATATGTATGTATGTATGTATATATATATATATATATATATATATATATATTAGAGATAC